TCATGGGCTGACAGAAAACCACAATTTTGTTCAGGGAAAACATGGCCTTTGCAATTTTGGGTCCAGGTTAATCCTAAGAATACGATTAGCTACCAAGCATGTAGCAAGTGAGACCCGGGTGCCATTCCCTAAAGGTAGCTTTCCATTCTGTCCAAAGTTAACACACAGGCTTCTCTGAGACAGAGGGGGCTGCCCAGCAGGGCAAGCAGCACCAGCAGCAGCACAATGCCCTTTCCGCTATCTCCTCTACCTGCATTTCCTATCGGTGCTTGAGAAGTGTGTTATGAAAGCAAGTCAACCAGCTGAGCCTAATGCTGATGAGCATCCGGTATCATGGCCTGTATCTCAAAAGCAGAGACTCCTGAATCATGTTAACACCCCAGAATTGTGTGGGTGGACCCAGGTTTTGTGGGGCTATAGTGGGAGACCACATATGGCTCTGGATGTCATGAAACAAAACGGTGGACAGCTTTCAAGAATTACAAACTAGTGAATACACGTGCTCGGCAAGGGTCCTTCCTCTTTTTAGCTCTAGATTCCTCCCATTTCTACCACAGAAGACCATGGTTGGTACCAAAAGATACCATATCCTGAGGCAGTTTGACAGATGGCGGGGTGTGTAGTCACCCAGGTTGATCTGGGGCTGGTCCTCAGTCCTGCCTGTCCCAGGAAGGGCATCCCTGCAGGCCAAAGGCTGGAGGAAGGTAACACATCCAGTACCCTTGAACCTCTGTCAGTCCTCTGAAAGTGTTGGCTCTTATTGGGGATAGGATCACTTTTTTTATAATGCTTTGTCCAAAACTTTTGGTGCCACAAAAGTTTAGGGATTTAGAAATCATTAATGGGGACAGAGATCATCATCACCTAGGCAGGGGCTGGCAAACACACTGACATGGCTGCAGTGAACCAGTGAGATACTCCCATGAGGCTGGTCATACCAAGTGGGATACACAGAGAAAAATCGGGATACTATAAATAACTTCTTGGTAGCATCCATTTTTGGTTTTACTACCAAAAGTGTTTAGGTCAAGCTGGTGAAAACACTTGGCTGCTGAAGTGTTCTGGGTGATACAACAGTGGGCAGCAGATCATGAACCTGAGGCAGCAGGCAGATGTTGAGTCCTGCACAGTTCAGGGAAGAGGCTACCAGCTTTATGGATTCCTGGTCCTGCTACAGCCCAGTTCACAAAGCTTGTCAGTTTGACTCAGCTCACACTGACTTCTATCCTCAAGAGTCACTATATACATCTTTGCTCAAAATCCACCAATGGCCCTCAAGTCCCAACCCAGGCCACATCCTATAGGACCTTTGAGACCGGGGGCCGATGGTGTCCATGTTCTCCTCCTTTCTGAGTTGGAGGCTCTTCACTGTCTCCCTGTCTTCCAGCTGCAGGCTTCAAGGCCTGCATTCCCACTCATTCTGGGAAAAGCTATCTTGGGAAAAGAGATGCCTCTTCAACCACTATTCGTAGTAGGTGCTTTCTGATTTGCAGATTGCTTTCGTGTGAATCATCCCGTGACCTCCTCACTCCCATGAGATACACCAACAAACAGGATTACTCCTAATGGGAACATTTCACACTGTGCTCATCCTTCAGACAAAGAAATGGAGACTGAGAGAGGGAGTGATTTGCTAAGACTCAACACTCCGGCAGTGGTGGTGCTGGGGACCAATCCAGGTTTGAGATGGCAGAGTGGAGTGTCTGCTTCCTCCTGCACCACCTCTGTGGAGGACCAGAGGCTGTCCAACCTACCTGGGTAGTGCTGCACAAACCTGCACACAGCCTTGCCTCTGCAGGCAATGGATGAAACTTCACAGCACATCAAAGTCTCTAGAAATCCTTTGCTAAAGCTCCTTCTGGGGACCTGAACAGATGGTGTCAGGCTAGGGGCCCTCCACAAACTCGCCTGCTCCAGCCACATACCTGGGCTCAGTTTCCTCCATGGGTCTGACCCTTCTGGGGGCCCTTTCCCCATTTCCCAGCCAAGAAGACCCTCTTCACTACAAGACCCAGCCAAGACAGCCCTCCCATCTGAAAAACCCTCCATGGTCCCTCAATGTGAGTCAGTGGTTGGTTCCCCACTCTTCATGTTCCCCAACCTCTGCCTTGTTTCAGGCTCTGCACTTTACAGGTCTGCCTGGAAGATGCGCTCCAGCCTCCCCACCCCCCAGCTCTGAGTGATGTAAGGGTGAGTGGACACCTGATGTCCTGCATGGTGGAGAAGCCTCTTGCAGGATGGGTCTTCTTGGACTTGAATGTGCTTTGCCTTGAGAGGTCTGGAACCCAGACCTGCCCTCTCCCATCAGGCTGTGCTTACACCAGGGTTAGCAGATGGCCAGGTGGCCAGCGCACCAAAAGCAGTTCTCCTGCCAACCCAGCAGTCGTCTGCTTCAAAAAACGCCAAGAGCCCATCCCACCAGGCTAAGTGCAGGGCAGAGTGTGATGCCAACAGGCAAAGGCACTTGGAGTCCTGTGTGAACACACAGCCACCGCTCAGGCACCAATTCCTGGTTTCAGTCCTCCCGCTTGGTCAATATTGATCATGAGGCCTCAGGAACTGTGAGGGCCCAACCACTGGGGCCCACTGTGGACACCTCCAATGCCTGTCTGTGCTTTGCACCTCCCGACGGGCTGGCAGTAACTGTCAGGTCAACACTGCAGGTGAAGGGATGCCCTGCCCACCCCTGCCTGCTCCCTGTCCCCTTGGTGGTGAGGCCCCAACCAGACTCTAGCACTACCTCCCTCCCCCCACCACTCATGGGAACAGCCTCACAAAGGACCCATCCCGAGAAGGCTGGCCCTGGAGTGATCTGAGGAGAGGTTGCAAGATGGGGCCTTGGTACGGGGTTGACATCTTCTGCCCCACTGATTATGAGGACCCATCCTGGGGGTAGTCAGTGTGCACTCAGCCCTGGGCTCAAGGCCACAGCCCAGCTGCTAGAACTTGTGCTGGGCTGGCAGGGGGAGAGGAATTCCCTGGCAAGTGAGAACATCCAGGCCTGTGGAATGTGGGGGGAATAGAGGGAAGTGACTTCTTTGCTTTGCTGTCTGCAGGGGATGAGCAGCTCAGGGTGAAGAACAGTGAGAACCAAGGGGTGGCCCAGGGTCTCCCCAGTAGCTGACAAAGCTTCAGGCAGTGGACAAACATCGGCCCAGGATTTGACAGGAATGGCTGAACCTCAAAGACACTGAGCATTCTACCAAAGCAGGCCTGACCCGCTGGCATCAGAGGTCCTCGGAAAAACCTGCATCCCTGACATAAGAGCCAGGGAGAATGGGAGGCAGGCCCCTGAAGACCGGGACTCCCAAGGTGTCTCTAAACTTCTGAGCCTGCAGCAGCAGCCCACCCATCCCACCCCATAAAGAGTTGGTGACCCCCCATCCCCACCCCCAAGGGAGCAAATGGGACCAGAGTTGTTCCTCACAGGTACCTTCTGTCCCAGGAAGCAGGGGAGCTGGCTGTCCCTGATCTGCTGCAGGATCCACAGCACTACCAGCAGGAGAACCAAGGAACCACAGGAAGAGCTGGACCTACTGCCCAGCCACCAAGCAGAGCGAAGTCACCACACAACACAGGCCAGGCTTGCTGGGCCTGGTGATGGACGAGACGGATAACAGCCCCTCCCTCCATCCCCGCTGCCCAGGGACTGCAGCAGAGGTTGTGGGGTTGCACTGAGCGGCCAGGAGCCAGGGGTCATGACCAGGGATGCTGCCGCCCAAGAATCCAGATTCACAGCAGAGCAGGTGGTCAGTAAAATGCGGCCTCCTGGAGGCTCGATAGGTGGGCAAATGACCAAGGTACAGTCCAAAATGACACTGAGGCCAAGGGCGACCACCCCAGTAAACAGGTCAAGATCCCTCGCCCAGGCCCGGCCCCTGAGCCAGTTCTCAGGTCTGGAACTGAGGAATAGGGAAGGCGCAGGTCCCCGGGAGAAGGACACTGCTGCACCACAGCAAACAGACACATGAATGACCCCAGCCCCTCCCAACGGGACCTCGGACTCTGCATTGGTGACTGCATGCAGGGCAGTGGGACCATCAGATGGGTGGAGGTTGCCAGACAGGGTCAACTTGACACTGACGTGAGAGACCCAGTTAACTCTGACTCTGAAGCTGCTTCAGGAGGACCCCCTGGGCTGGGGTTTCTGAGCACAGGGGGTCAAGGGGCAAGGGACACAGGGTCAGTCCCGAGGAATCATCAGTCGGTCTTGAACTGGGAGAACCCAGAATGCAGTATCCCCCAGAGCCAGTGCAGGGCTTAGTGAGACATCTGTCGAGGAGTCCTTCAGAACCTGGGGGAATATGTGATATAAGGGAAAGACGGTAAGACCAAACAGAAGCCGTGCATGAACTTCAGTGAGTAAAAGAGAAACACACAGAAAAAGAGGGGGGATACTCACCCCACTCATGAACTGGAGAACCTTCTCACCTCTGATGACACCTCATGGGCATTCTCTGCTCCTGACTCCTCACACCCTCTTTGTGCTTGGCCAAGTCACCACGGTGGGCATGCAAGTACTCAAAGGGTAGCTGGACGGGCCTCCCGCCCAGAGCATGAGAGTCCACTCATTGAAGTCCTCTCACCATGGGTATGGGATGGCAAGGCACACTCCAGGCCACCCTCCCTGCTCCTCGATCTCAGAAACAAAACAGCTAGACTCATTCAGTGGGCTGCAGGCTGGTGTCCAGAGGCACCCTCCAGTGCTGGGGGACCTGGTGCCCGGGTAGTGGCCAACCTGCTCAGACAGAAGACAGTGAAGAGCACGTAGACCCCACAGTTTGGAAATGATGTGCATGCGCAAACCAGCATCACCCTACCCCGGGTCAGACGTGATATAAAGGCGTGTGATGTGAATACAAGTGGAGCAGCGCCAGAGGCTCACAGAAGTTACCGAGGCCCCCTGGGCAGTTCCCCAGCCCCTGGGCAGGCAGCACCTGAGTCATGGCAGCAGAGTGGCCACCCGTGTCCGCAGGTCCCATGTGTGCCGGGTCCTCTCAAAGAACTGCAGTGGAACTGAGATGAAATCAGAAACGCATCCAGTACTCACACTGGCCCCTCTATCTGGGCTGCATGGAGAAGGGCGCGGCCACCAGCAGCTGTCCTGGGGAGACAGGGGAAGGCTGGCTCCTGTACTTGAGCTATACGGCTGCCCCTGGGCTTGTCCAGCGTGTGGGAGTCCAAGGCCCAGAACTAAAGCTAGGCAGGGACCGTAGGACTGACATGGATATGAAGGAGCCCTCTCTCACAGGCAGAGTGCTGGACACCAGGGCAGTGTCTCCTCAGGGACTGCTTGCCCCAGGTGGCAAGCCTGGGGGTGGACAGTGGCCCCCAGAGGGAGGGCCTGAGGGACACTCGCTGACCAGTGGGGCACTTACGGCTCTGAGAGACCAGGCAAATACTGAGTCCTTTGATAGCCTGCAAACAGAAGAGGGCAAATCTGAAACACAAACAACCAGGGCAGGATGAGCACCCAGACCCTGAACCAAGTGCCCCACAACTCGGCACCGAAATGACACACAGCTCAGTGGAGAGATGGGCAACACGCCTCTCAGAGAGGAAACCACATCGGCCAAGGAGGACAGGAGGGAACCTGAGAATCTGGGTCGAGCCCGCCCCAGGTCACTGCTGCCTGCAAACGTACAGCAGTAGCAAAGTGGAACCCTCACCAAGCTTCAGAGACCCAGGCTGGGTAGGAGGCAGCAGTCCTCATCGATCGGTCCTCACACCTGGGCACGTGAGGAGAGCTGGGGCCAGCAGCAGGGAAGGGATGGGTGTGGAGAAACGCCACGGAGCAGGTCCTCACAACTTCCCCCATCAGCAGCCACATGTCATAGGTGTCCAGTTCACTGGGCAAGGTCTCGTTTGAAACCAAGATTTGGGAAAAACAGCAGCAGCCCACCCACCATTCACAGGATGCTCCCTCATGATCTGAAACCAGTTCCAGGAGGTTCTGGGGTGTCTGGAGGCAGCTGGTAACCACTCTTGGGGTGAGGAGTGGGGCACCATCATGAAAGAGTTGGGTGTGGTAATCACTTGGGTCCCCACAGTGCTGAGGCCTCAAATACAAGAGGCCCCTCAACTCATGGCCTGCGGCTTCTGAAAGGAGAGAGCAGGCTGCACGCTGGAAGGGAAAGCACTGCTCCACCACTCAGCATTCCCACGGCAGCAGTTGTGTGGGTACCCAGCTAACGGGAATCAGTGAGACACTGACCTTGCCTTCCTGGGACTCAGCAACCCTCGGGGGGCCAGATTCGTGCCCAGCAGCCACAGCCTGGGAGGAAGAGGGAGGCAAAGGTGGCAGCAGGAAGATGCAGGGGGCCCCAGAACTCCCAGATGAGAGCACCTGACACTCAGGCGGATGGAGAAAGGGATGTTACAGGCATGGAAGTAGGACAGTAGGTTGTCAGGACAAGAGAAGCCAGTGGTCCAGGGGCAGGAACTGCACAAGCTGAAGTGTGGGTTCCCAGATGTGCTCTGTACAGAGCACAGGATCAGCACAGTCACCACTAGGAAGGAGACCTGGGACCACTGGAAGCCTCCGCCTCCCTGCCCAGGGCAACATGGACAGGTTGGGGCTTAAACAGGAGACCGCATTTGCAATCCAGGGTTGACGAAGACAGACATTCATGTGGTGTGACGCAGAACCAATGGAGTGCAATACCAGCTGGAGGAGGAGGAGATAAGAGGGGTCTGGTCCAGTGGGGAGCCTAAGCTGACAGCACTGGCCCCAGGCCAGGAGGTCTGAGGTCAGCTACTAGCAGTGGGGACAGGAAGAGAAGCATTTACTCTGATCAGGCACTTGGGAGGCAGGGACACAGCAGGGAGGGCGGCAGTAAGGAGCAGAGTCAGGTGGCTGCCCTGGGTATGCTGAGCCCCTGGATGAGAGCAAGAGTCCAGGAAACAGTCTTGAAGGCAAAGCTGCCTTTCTGTGGTGCATCTCAGGTCCCAGGGGCAGCAGGAAACACACTGAGGATTTTCCTTCTTACCTGTGCAAAAAAAAAAAAAAGAAACCCACACAGATAGACTGCTGCTCGGCACTGGGCTAGCAGCCCCAGGGTGGCTACAAGGGGAACCAACCTGGGCTTTCAGCCCAGAGATGTGGAACTGCGCCCAGAGGCCCCACCTCTCCCCGCTTCCCTGGCCCCTGGGGTCCATTGTGAAGCTTGGATGCAGTCTCTGAGGACACTGGATCATGGTCACTTTGACTCTTGCCGATTATTGCAGACTGGACGCCTAAGACAAGGACTTAAAAGGGCACAGTCTGGCCTCTGCCATGGAGTTGGACAGGCCCAGCCTCCATGGGTTCCCTGGGCCCACAGCTCCATCCCTGTCAGCTCAGCCCCACTCCCCGGTGGCTTCACCCCACCCCAGCCCCGCCCCCTTACCCATAAGCTCCTCACTGAGGTCTTTCCCACACTTCAGTCCCTTACTCCTCGCCCTGCTCCTCCCACCTTCACCCTCTCTTCCACCCGGCCAATCACTTCCTGGTCCTCTTTCAGGTCCTGCTCAAGGCCGCCGGTCTCGAGGCTCCTCCTGGCCTGGACTTCCACGCGCCTCAATTCATGGTGGCTCCTATTTCGTCTCCTAGCAGACAGGGTGGCGAGAGAACGCGCGTTTATTTGCACGTGCGTTTGTTTGCACGTGCGTTTGTTTGCACGTGCGTGTTTACTTAACTGCCTGCCTGCGTGCATGCGTGCATACGTGAGTACCGGAAGCCATACATACCGGAAATGAGGGGCTTCAGGGTTTGTGGGCGAGGCGCAGTTAAAGCCCGCCGCCGTCACCTGTCAGTGGTCTTGGGTCCTGGGGGCGGACCAATGTCCTGCCAAGTGGCCACAGCCCGGCCATCCCAAAGCGCCCTCGACTCGCTCTGCTTGCAGGAAGGAAGAAACTGCTTCGTGTGCGGATGGTACCTCCGGGTGGGGGTTTCCAGGCTCTGAGACCAGGATTGCCTGCCAGGCGGCCAAGCTGCACTTTCTGGTCCCCTCCACAGCCACAGTCCCTGCCCATCATCCTTCCATGTGTGCATCCCAGCGATGCCCTGGGACACATGCGAAAACACCCGCAGACCTGCTCTCCAGTCTCCTGCTCCGCCCCTGGGCTGTGACCTCACGGGAGCCCCACCCGCCCCCGGCGAGCGGCCCCGACCCAGGCCTGACCCTCCAGGGCTCAGCTGCTTGTCCACGGTTCCCCTCCTGGTGGGGCCCAACCACGAGTTCATGGAGGATGGCCGACTGACTGTGGTGGTTCCCAGATCCTTTGAGAGTGGCAGTGTGAGGGGAGGAGTCGTTTTTTCTTGTTCCTTGCAGGATCTCCTGGGGGGTAAATCACCATCACTCCTGGGAGATGGGTTTCTGTGTCCTGAGCTGAGGCATCATGGGGTCCCTGTCCCAGCCATGTAAGGACAGGCCAGTTGCTGTGATGAGCAGAACCCACCCTGAGGGAACCTGCATGTGTGTTTCTCATCGGTTGTGCCCTCCTGGGTCCCCATGGTCTAAGGCCCCTGCCAAGCCCCTGTGGTGGTTTGGTGTCCAGCACTGCTGTCTTGTCACAGGTGATTTTCTCCCTGTTGCTCTGGTCCTCGTGCAGGTGAAGACACCCAGACAAGCAGGCGGAAGAGAGTTTTCTCTTCTGGCCACTAAGCAGGCACCCTGTGCTTTGAGAGGTAGGAGCGCTTGCAGCCCCTTCTTGCTCAGGCATCCCAGCCACACAGTTGAGATTCAGTGGCACCCAGGAGGAAGGGGTTGGGTTGGCTGAGACACTGAATGGCAGAAACTGGGCGAGCCTGGTATCCAGTCAAATACCTCAGTAGAAGACAGCAATGGCCATGCCCCAGGGGTCAACCAGGCTCCCTGGTAATTAATCCAGACCCAGTGAAGAAAGTGACCCTTTGTCACCCAGCAGATGGGCAACAGTTCAGTTGAATGATGATGCTTGGGGCCACCCTTGCCTGTGGATGGGGGAATGGACAAGGGGGAGCCTTTGCAGAAGACCATTTGCTGGTGTGTGTCAGCACCCCGAGTGTGTGCCCTGTTCCCCGAGCCTCCTTCTGCATGATTCTTCAGTCAGTGAGTGTGTGGTCATGTCAAGTGGTTGTACTGGCAGAATGAGTTTTCCCTTCTCTTCTATCAGGAGGGAAGTGTCAGTAACTTGTGGGACCCCCGAACACTGGGAGGTGTAAACAGACACCGTGTAAGGGTGAAAACAGACACATGAACGAGGTGACAGTAACCTAGTGGGTTATTTGAGGTTTGAATTCTGTGATCCCTGACGTCCCAGGCCCTGGTGAGGACATGGAGGGCACCCATCCCAGTAGATCCTGCTCTCCTTCATTCTTTCTCTAGGCTCTGGGCAGGGGCCAGGGCATCTGCTGACAGTGGAGGCCATGGTACAGGAAGGGCTGGGAGGAAGGTTGCTCCCAAAGGCATGGGGAAGACACGTGGCAGGGCTGTCTAAAGTCCAGGGTGGCCCTGGGTCAAGGCCAGATTGGTTAGCATGGATCTGTGCTCAGCAGCCCTGGGCTGAGATGGGGGATCTGCAGAGCATGGGCAGGGATGGAGCTGGGGAGCTGAGGGGGGTGGGGTTGGGGCCAGGGGTGGAGGAAGCCAAGCCCAGGACTGTGCCTGTCTCTGCTGAGAGAGGACCAAAGCCAGGCAACTGGGCTGTGAAGCCAGGGAACCCACCCTCCCTCCTCAGTGCTCCCAGGGTTTCAAGTCCCTCTGTCTTGGAATTCACTTCGTGCCTCTCTCCTGCTGTCCAGCCCTCCTTCCTGACCTCCCCACAGACTGCATGTGATGGCCGGGTCCTCTGGGTCACCACCCCCTGTCAGCAGACCACGTAGAGATGGATGGAAGGAGCCAGCCCTCTGTGAACCTCCCCTCTGTGTCAGCAGGCTTGGAGGATGCTCGGACACATGGGGCTGAGGTCCAGTCCAGGGCTGTGAGCTTGGAGGCCACTGTGTCAGGCTCCTGGCCTTTGAGGTTCTGTATTTACGCAGCCACATGAGGCCCTGGGAGATGAAGTTTGGCTGTCTGACCTTCTGATAGCCTTACGCCAGTTTCATCTTAAACAGTGTCAAGACCCTGTAGAGGAGGTGGTGACCTGTGCTATGCGGACCTGGCATTGTACCTTGGCAGTCCACATCGGGCACCAGACTGGGAGGATGCAGCCTAGTGGGAGCTGCTGGAGCAGAGGCTGGGGATGAGCCCCACTCAGATCCAGGCCTTGCTGCAGGGCGGGGACAAGTTTGGCCACGGAGTGATCGTGGCAAGTGACTCCCTGCCCTACACTACCTGCACGGCCCCTGGTGTTGCCGTGGATCTCAGCCAGGGATCCTGGCTCCTTTGTTTTCTATTGAACCAGTTGGTGAGGGGCCAGGTGGGGCTGAGGTTTCTTCAGAGGGGCAGTGAGGGTCCCTGGGCTGGGAAACAGCGGCCCAAGGTCCCTGACCACCACAGTGGGCCTCAGTCCCTGTTTGTGCTCTGAGAGGTAGAGGCGTGTCCAGGTCTGCACATGGCACTTGTCTGTGTGTGTGTATCTCCACATGTGTATGTGTGTGCCCAGCAGACACCATGAGAGGCAGCACAGTATCCAGCCTGGGTTCCCCACCCCCACTGCCTGCAGTAGGGCCTGAGCAAGTCCCCTGACTCCCCAGGGGTGAGGCCCCACAGCAACACCTCTCTGCTGATGAATCACTTGGGGACCTGATGTCCGCAGGCTCCCTGCTGGGGCCCTCCTGCTCTGTCCCTGTGGCCTGCAGTGGGCAGACTGAGAGCTGCCCATGGCCTGA